CCTCCTCCTCCTCCTCCTCCTCCTCCTCCTCCTGCTCCTCCTTCTCTTCTTCCTCTTCCTCTTCCTCTTCCTCTTCCTCTCCTTCTCCTTCTCCTTTTTCTTTACTAGCCACCCATGTCAGAACTCCCCCACTTGGCATTGCTCAAATGACCAAGGAGTTACTTTTGCTTCCAGTTATCAAGACTTCACAAAGGAAGCCTAAATTGGTCTAAAGTTTAAGTACAGACTGAAGAATTTTGTACATCATGAAGTTGTGAAATGTTTCGGATGCCATGCCAAGGAGGAGATGATTTGAAATTTCTTCATTTATATCTTTGGTACTTCTCTTTTTCTTCTCTCTTACTCTAAATGCAAAGTTCTTTTCTTTTCTCTTCGTTCTTTGCCTATCCATGTACATGCTAACAAATCAAGTCAGTCGATCAGCAACGTCTGCATTATGCAGTAGCAAAAACTTTGGGTAATATAAAACAAGTATCCTCAAGACACCTGAGTCTAGATGGAGAGATTAAATTTTAGTTTATGAAATAATAACTGCTGAAATATGTAAGCTTGTCATAAATTATTTAATTCAGAGGCCACTCTGAAAAGAAACATTTAGTCAAGAATTTTCAGAGAAAGTGAAATTTTTGCTACAAATTAAAGGGTGGTGTCTTAGGGTTACTGTTGCTGTGGTGAAACACCACAACCAAAAGCAAGTTGAGAAAAAAGCAGTTTATTTGGCTTATGCTTCTGGTTCATCATCCAAGGAAGTTAGGACAAGAACTCAAATGGCGTAGAACCCTGGAGGTAGGAGCTGATGCAGACAGAGGCCATGGAGGAGTGCTGCTTACTGGCTTGATTCCCATGACTTGCTCAGCTTACTTTCTTAGATCCCAGGACCACCAGCCCAGGGTTGTGACACCACCAACAATGGGCTGGGCCCTCCCTCCCGCAACAATCACTAAGAAAATGCCCTATGATTGCCTACAGCTAGATTTTAGGCAAGCAGTTTCTCAATTGAATTCCCTTCTTTCAGATCATTCAGTGTGTATGGAATTGACTAAAACTAGCCAGGGCAGATGGGTAAGATTAAGGTCATACAAAGCTCCATGGATAAATGGTGTCTTAGTTAATGCAGGATGCTGTGACAGATACTGGGGGGAAAGTCTGACATGAGAGGACCACGGTCAGGTTCTGATGAAGGCCTTCATTCAGGTTGCTAACAGGAAAAGTCTTGTACCCTCATGGCCAAAGTGGGGCAAGATAGTTATTTCTCTGAACTCTTCATCTAAGAGCTCTAATCCTATTCATGACATCTCTACCTCCTGACCCAACCTTCCCCTGCAAGGACCCCATCTTCAGATGATAACACATTGTATGTAATTAAAGTATAAACATTTGAATTTTGGAGCAACACAAACATTTAGTCCATTGTTGGCAGCAAGTCAAAGCCAATGTTGGATGGGTACAAAGACCTCGAGAACTGAAAGGTGATATGAATCTTTTCTTGTTTCTATTCCTGTGTTTAAGAAAGCACTGCCTGTAGCAGCCTTGACATGCAGCAGAATTTCTTTTTTTTTCTTCTTCATTCTTCTGTATTAAGAAATTTTCTACTCACTCCACGTGCTATCCACAGGTTCCCCCTCCTCCTTCCTTCCACCCCCCAGCCCTCTTTCCCAAGCCACCCTGCATCCCCACATCCCCCAAATTGAGGTCTCCCAAAGGGAGTCAACAGAGCCCAGCACACTGTGCCTAGGCAGGTCCAAGCCCCTTCCCACTGCACCAAGGCTATACAAGGTATCACACCACAAGCACTGGGTTCCAGTAGCCTGCCCATAGACCAGGGGCAGATCCTGAACCCCTTGCCAGGGTACCCCCCAAATAGTTTCAGTCAAACAACCATCTTCCGTGTCCAGAGGACCTAGTCCAGTCCCATGGGGGCTCCACAGCCACCAGTCCACAGTTCATGGGCTTCTACTATGTGGCTGGTCATCTCTGCACATCCTCCCATCATGATCTCCATATCCCTCACCTGCAGTATCTCTCCTCTCTCTCATCAACTGGATTTCCAGAGCTCAGCCTGGTACTTGGCCATGGATCTCTGTATCTGCCTCCATCTGTCACTAGACAAAGGCTCTATGATGACAGCTAGGTTATTTGCTAGGCTGGTCACCAGAGTAGACCGGTCCAGGTACCCTCTGGACCACTGCCAGCAGACCAAGGTGGGGTGATCTTTGTGGATTACTGAGAGCCTCCCCAGCACCTTGCATCTTCCTATTCCCATGATGTCCTCATCTAGCATGGTATCTTCCTTCCTGCCCTCCCACTCTGTCCCTGTCCCAGCTTGACCCTCCCATTT